TTTTATTTATTTATTTGAGAGAGAGAGAGAGCACATGAGAGGGGGGAAGGTCAGAGGGAGAAGCAGACTCCCCGCTGAGCAGGGAGCCTGATGCGGGACTCGATCCCGGGACTCCAGGATCATGACCCGAGCCGAAGGCAGTCGCTTAACCAACTGAGCCACCCAGGCGCCCGGTAGCATTGTTCGTAATAGCAAAAAAGGCAGGCAACAATTAGAACATACACAAGTAGGATAGATAATTGAATTCTAGTATATTCCTACAATGGATTTCTATATAGCAGTGAAAGTAGATGAACCAAGTTACACATCTGAACAAAAGGATGAATTTCAAAAACATAACATTGAGAGATAAATGAAATAAATGTAAAGAAAAGCCAAAGAATGAGTAACATAAAATTCAGCTTAGCAGTTGTTTCTGAGGGAAGCACATAGGATCATTCAAAGATAATTAAAAATGTTCTAAGATAGGTGGTAGTTACCTGGGTGTTTATTCTTCTGTATGTATATTTCACAATAAAAAGTTTTTAAAAAGGGAACAGTTGGTATCATTGCTATCTTTCTGCTTAGGGTCTCTGCTGTCTCTTCCCTGGGTAAATAGTCTTTTTATTTCTCCTGGTGCTAGTGATTCCCTTTACCAAGATATATTTCTGTTGTCTCTTCAAAGCTTTCTTGGTTGGGAAAAGTATGAATTTGTATAGGACAACCAGTTTTTAAATAGCCTCTGTTTTGTTCTCAATGGGTCTTGTGTGAGATTGTCAATTCTTAAATATTGTAGCCCACTGTTACTCAAATATATTTAGTTTCATTTTGAAAAAAATCGATCTCTAATATTTAAAACACAGCCGAGTTACCCTGATTGAATGTACTCAGTATTCTAGAAATCCATGGTAATACAGTCGAACTGTTCTGGTTTGTAACTTAACATGGATTCTGAACTGAGGTGATAATCCTTTCGTATTTTCATGATTTCATAAAATTTTGACCTTGAGACTTTTCAAACACGAATTCTCCTTTACTTGGAAATTTAATTCTGAGTAAGCTGTTTTCTGAAGAACTGAATATTATATCCCATGGCAGATATCACTACAATAAACGTAAAGCTTAGGCCTCTGTTGCAAAGCATAGCTTTCCTTGTTGGAACTAACCTGCCCCTGATGGCCTTATAAAGGGCCAGTGAAAATATGCATAACTGTACTCTCCCTATAGACCTTTTGACTTAATGCAAAGTTCTCCTTGATCTCTGCCTTAGTTTGGATTTGGAAGCCTAGGCGTTGCTTAGCTGTTTCATGGATTTACAGGGCAAAATGTTGATCTCAGAGGTAGCAGCCATCCATCTGTAGATATTGACAAGTTTGTATGGTTTTATTTTTGAGCTAAAACTATTCCTTATAGTTAGGGTGAAACATTTTCAGTGAGTCAAACATGAAACCAGAATCTCAAGCCGGGGGCAGACTTTAAAGATCATCAAGTTTAATGGTATTGACATTTCTTTTTAAGCAGCAGAACCCTCTCTGCTAAGGAAATCATTCCAGGAAGCTAAATGAGAAAGTTTAGAGTGAGGGTGGGGGTTTGGAATTATCAACAACCACCCAGTCTCTAAGACATACTTTCCCTCCACCCTTTTTTTTGGGGGGGGGGGATGAAAATGAGGCTCAGAGAGGTAAAGCAATTTTCCAAGAAGCACAAAGGAAATTGGTAACAGAGCTAGGCTTTGAGCCCAGGTCTTAGACCAGATTGCCTGACTCCTAGTCCAGTGTTTCTTTTACTAAACCTCACTGCCAATTCTGTACAAATTCATCCAAGCAAATTCTTAAGGTGTTTCCTCTCACTGCTTATCAGGTGAATCATATAAAAAAACAAATCGCATGTAACTGAACATTCATCCATGCATGAGGAACAGTTCTCTTTGCTGCTTGCAGGTCACTATGACAAATGTGTGTTCGCCCTTCGAGAAGAGAACAAGAGTGACATGAACACTGTACTGAACTATATCTTCTCTCACGCTCAAGTCACCAAGAAGAATCTTCTGGTCACAATGCTTATTGTGAGTACCATTTTTCAGAACCTATAAGGATGGTTGATGTGAAGAAAGCATTTCTCCTTCTGAGGTTCTGTGGTCAGAGGAAAAGCTCCTTGTCTTTTGTAATTTGGGGATGAGTGGTGCTTGGGTTGTAGGTGAACAGTTTCTTACCTCTCCCTCTGTCCTTGACCTGAAGGAACCTGCTCCAGTCAGGAGAGGCTTGTTCTGGCTATTGTGTATACAGTCCTGCACAGGAACTCAGACAGATCTCTTGACTCTGCTTAAAGATGCCTTGTGCTTCCCCATCCCTGCTGTCACTCATGACAATAGCTTTAAAATGTTATCTAGCCGGTATACTTTGTCATGATAACTCTTGTTTGTTCCGTGAATATAAGGGCTCTTATGTCCCAAAACTTAAGAACAAAAAACAGTGTTAGAATTTCAGTACTGCCCCTCCCACCAAAGAAATTTAAATTTATTCTGCATCTTCTTTGGGTCCCTTTCTCTTTTACCTACATGGAACTCTAAGCTCAGATTCTTGTACTGGTAGTGGATACATGCTTTTTTCCCCATAGCCTTGTAATATGAGAATTAGTAGAAAGTGGGAAATAGAGGTGAGACTAGTAAATGTGATTAGAATTAATGTACATTTGACCAATGGGTAGAAGTTTTGTGGACTTTGGACTTAAGGATTTTTAAAGATGATTTGTAAGTCCTTCACTCCTAGAGTTTTCCAGTTGAGTTAGTTCTAGGAATCGGAGAACAATAAGACTATTCTTAGCGTCCCCACCCCATGAACAGCTGCATGGCTACTCTTTTTTGGGGACTGAAGTACCTCTTTACTCCTAGAATTTCCTCTCTTGTCCCTTTGTGGAATTAGCATTCTTGGTACCTTGATTCCATCATTACTTCTCGGAGGGGAAAAAAAAAAACTATAAATCATTACTGCTGTTTTTTATTTCATAGTTCAGAATAAAGGGAAACTATCTAGTTCACGTTTCTGGTTAACAATAACACCACAACTTTGTATCTGCCTAGCTGGTTAACTCTCAAAGATATAACTTTTTTTTTAGAATAGCCACTTTTAAAAACATGTAATTACAGGGAGAGTTCATTACATTTGCTACCCTAGAATGGCTAGATGGTAGGGAAATCAGAAGATGCATTTGAAAGGAAAAAAATATGTATCAGCACTATGTAATATTTCAACTTCCCCAAGTGACAGGTTTTGGCAAAGAAGTGCTATTATCTATGGCAATGTGCTGATTTTTTTTTTTCCTCAATCAAAAGAAGGAAGAGATCTCTGAGCAGTTAGTTTTTTTGTTTTTGTTTTATTTCAATACAAGGATTGCTAATTCTCATTTGGATAAAACAGGACTTTCTGGCAGAAAAGAGTAATGAGGAGGGAGTGGAAGAATCTCTCAGTTTGGACCTAAAATGGGGTGTATTTGCCTTTTTAGGGAGCTAATGATGGTGAGTTTTCATTTTATTATGATTCCCTTTTTAAGGACTTAACAGTTTTCTGCACTAAAAATAGACCAAAGCCCAGAATCCTTGGAGCAGCAGAAGAGTAATGATCGTCCAAGACTGTCACTGGGTTTCTTAAATTCTAATTTGTAAGATATAGGGGCTTGGCTCGCTCCTTTTGCGGAGTGATTGTAAGTAACGCTTGCCTTAAGAATCTCATTATTGGAACACGGAGCCATATTTCCTCTGAGAATTCTGGAGTAGCTTTGAGCCGGGGCTGTTCATTTCTCAAGTAATCACGCTGGTGTGATGGAGAGAGAAAATGGCAGCTGTTCGGAGCTCAGGCCTTCAATTTTCTTCAGAGTCCAGTCACTCAAGTGTGTAATTACACGGGGGGTGCTGCAGAGGCGCTGGGCCCTGTCAGAGAACTGGTTTGAAGCTTTGCTTTCTGCTTCTGCCAGTCAGGACAGGCAGAAGCCAATGGGGCTCTGACTTGCTGCTGTTCTTTCTTCCCCACCTTGTCATCCTGCTTACTTCTTACCTGCATGGATGGTACCCAAACTTTCTTTCCAACAGGCTGAGCTCTTTGGAGAAAAGCGCTGTTGTTAGTGTTTGGGTTTGGGTGACTAGGGTGGATGGGGAGGAGTGGGGGAGGGGGAGGAGGAAAAGGTTGAAGATGTGAACGAGAAAGATGGATTTGTCCTTTTCTTTATTTTGGCATTTCACATTTTTCTTAAAAAAACAAAACAAACAAAAACAAAAACTCAACAACCCAAAACTCAGCCAACACAGTAGGATCTGTAGGCTTTTGTATCACTGAATTTCTTTTGAAATATCCGCTGCTTTCACCTTATCGTAGAGATTTGGAAATCAAGAAGTTAACTGATACGCTTGAGCTGAGGACCAGCTAGCCATGTCCTATGCAGCAGGAATGAGAGCTCAAGAGGTGCTCCTTTCTGATCTGATATTACTGAATACCAGATGTGGGTTTCCTCATTCCTTCTTTGGTAATGGTCAGGTCTCACCCCCATCACCCCACCCCACATCTGCATTAATGTTAATGGGTGGTAAAAGCTATTTTACTGGTTTGGCTCACTCTTTATGTAGGTCTCACTGTCTTTTACAGATATCACCTGGACATGGTAGCATTTGAATTCCCCAGCTTGTGTTCTCTGCCACTTCCCCTTTCTCTGCTTACCTTGGCTTCCTGATCGATGGTTATGTGCCCGGCATTTCAGTCTTTGCTTTCTAGAAGTAGGATTGTTGATGGTGTGCTTTGCTGAGCTAGATGATGATTTCTGGGGCTTTTGAACCTACAGGGAGGGATCAAGACAATCAGGCTTCTGTGAATCAGTGTTACAGAATGTGGGCTGCTTCAAGGAAGCCCTCATCCCCTCCAGGCATTAGCATAGCGCCTAGTAGTAACTTGCCTCAAGGACTCTTGAGCAAATTTGTTCTAATCTTTCACTATCTAGAAAGCAGAATACCAAATAAAATGCTAAAGTCCTATCATTTTTCCTCCATTTGGAGGAACATGGTGCCTCGATTAAAACCAAAGTCTGGAAGATCAAATTTATTTTTTTGAAAGCTCTTTTTATTTCTTAAATTTAATTTCATAGGAGGGGCGCCTGGGTGGCTCAGTCATTGGGCGTCTGTCTGCCTTCAGCTCAGGTCATGATCCCAGGGTCCTGGGATCGAGCCCTGTGTCAGGCTCCCTGCTCGGCGGGAAGCCTGCTTCTCCCTCTCTCACTCCCCCTGCTTGTGTTCCTCTCTCGCTGTGTCTCTCTCTGTCAAATAAATAAATAAATAAAATCTTTTAAAAAAATAAAATAATTTCATAGGAAAAAGCTTGGAACATTGTTTACATTTACTTAGAGATACGAGATTATTATTTTTTTTTCTTTTTAAGAGAGAGCTCAAGTGGGGAGGGGCAGAGGGAGAAGGAGAGAGAGAATCTTAATAGATGTGGGGCTCGATCTCACAACCCTGAGATGGAGACCTGAGCTGAAATCAAGAGTTGGACACTTAACCAACTGAGCTACCCAGGTCCCCTTATTTAAGAGATTATTTAGCCAAATTAAGCAGTTTGGCACCAATACAAAGTATCAACATCCTTGTAGCTGTCTAGATAGCAAAGTACATATCCAGTAGCCACCTTGATGCTGAGTAGTCCTCCCCTCACTACTTATATGTTATTTCTGGTATGGTCCACATGAACATGATACAAACCATGCTCCTTATGAGTAATGCTGTGCCTATGAGCCTCTGATTTGGTTTAGATGGGGAGCCTTTCCTTCTTCCTCTTAACATGACTGCAAATAATTTTGTCCAACGTGTAAATAAAGAGTTTTTCTCAGTGAACCCAAGTTTACTGAATAAGGGTGATATTAACAATGTCTTGTTAAACCTGTCCCATGACGTCCTTGGAATGTCAAAAAGTCCAGCTGTGACTGGAAGAAGCTACCAGTCCATTGCTGATTTTGGGATTAGTGCCTCACCCAGCTGAACAATAGTTAATGTCTTGAGAGCATTACACATTAGTCACATTCCATTTTGAATTGCCTTCAAATCTTAGGATGCTAAGATCATGTTGCATTATACTGGGCTCTTCTGGCAGTCAGCTGCATAACTTTGACTATGGTTTTGACACTTAAGCATGTTTGTTATATTTCTGCAAATCTGAAATATGCCCTGTTGTTAGCCACCATCCAGCTTAAGAATAAATATGAGAAATAAGTGTGTGATACACAACCTTAACCATTACTGAATAATTATGTTCACTTTGGCCTACAGATTTATGCAAGTAACCTGTAATCCCAGAATCAGCACGTAGGCTCATTAAAAGAACCTCTTTCTATTGAGGAAGCACATCTATGGACATAGTCACCATTTAATGTCATTGTTACAAAGTATTCACCAGAATTAGATGGTGATGTTGGGCTTCCCATAAGAAGCCTGTCTCTAGGCTAGAGGGCCATAAACTTCCTTCTGGATGTTTGTATCTTCGGATGGTTGGTTCTAAAAAATAGAATGGTCTTTAGTCCCTGGCGGTTTCTTGTAGGACCTGAACATTGTCCAGGTCAAGGACAAGAAAAGGTTGAGAAGGTTACTATATATGTGATTTTCTATTGCCAGTCTTTTTCTAAGTACTCATGATGACAATGGAGAAAATAATATTTGAATGAAAAATCCAAGTCCAGATAAACTAATGGAGGTAGTGGTTTATTGGTACTGTATTTGATGCTTCACATCCCAGAAAGGTCCGGGAAGACTTTTGGTTGGTGATCGTGAATGAATAATTACTTCCCGATTATTTTTTTTAAATCCTCCATAGTTCACTTTTCTTTCAGATACTGTTTCTTTTTCCCTACCCATCTTCTCCTTCCTTTTCTCTTATAGTGGAAAGATGAAACAAGAGTCGTTTTTTTAAAAAGTGGTTTTGTATGTTAAGTTAGAACATGACCTATAGTTAGACAAGAGGATAGCTCCATTTTTATGTGTGTATTTTAGTTTAATCTCAAAAGGTAAACCTGGATTTCCTTTCAAGGGAAAACATTCCATATCAAAGCTGTTGTGCTGATACAAGTAGGTAGCTAATGTTCTTACTCTGTCACGTCGGCTTTTGTTGCTAGATGTTGAGACTTGAGTCTGGCTGTTTGCAGAGAAGCTGAGTTTTATTACTTAGGACACCTGTTAGGTTTTTAGATCTTTCAGTGAGTCTTTCTGATGAATGGAGTAAGTAAATATTCCTCAGAAAGGAATATTTATCTCTATTAGGAACATTGGGAAAAGAGGGATTTGGTAGGAAAAACTTGTCTTGGTTTCCCTATCCACTGTTAACCTGTCTGTTCTTCTGTCTTCCTGTGGTCTTGTCCCTGGTGATTTTACATACTCCTTTGAAATTCTCTTTAGCTCCATAGTTCTCAACAAAAGATGCAACCTAGTTGCATTTTCTCCCTCCTTTTTTCTTTTATGCCCTAGGGTAGGTGGAGAGGCCCTCTGGTCTTTGGACTCCATGCTCAATCGAACCCTGGATTTATAGTCACCTTTTAGCCGCTTCTCCCCTCCCCTCAGATCAGTGAATTCCCTGAACTAAACAGGTGAATCTTCCCACTCAGATCAGTGAATTCCCTGTGTTCAACAGGTAAAAACAATACGTGCACTTCCTTAATTATAAATCCTATCATGTGTTTTACGACTCTGGACATTTGGAGTAGACTTCTGGTTGGTGGGTTGGAGAACCAGAAAGTATTTCCTGTTTCAAAATGTTTGAGAAGGGACATCTTGGTGGCCCGGTTGGTTGAACATTCAACTCTTGGTTTTGGCTCAGGTCATGATCTTGGGGCCGTGAAATCGAGTCCCACGTTGGACTCCGCGCTCAGCGTGGAGTCTGCTTGAGATTTCTTTTCTGTTTCTCTCTCAAATAAATAAATATATAAAATATTTTTAAAAAGAAAAAAAAAATGAAAACTTCTTCCCAGCATGGTGGTGCTGAGTACTCCAAAACTGTTTACCCTGTGATGTGGAAGGTAGTAGGGGTTGTGGAAAAGGTGTTTTGGGAAATGCATATCTGCCCTAAAAGCCGAAAGCCTCAAACTTTTGTTTATACTGTTGTGATAAAGGGACTATAAAGAGTATGCCTGAGATGAGGAAGGTAAGTATGACATGGAGATTATTCAGGAAAAAGGCTGATAATCAAGGTAGGAAGAAAATCAAAAGACAGCAGCAAGTAAGCCTTTGGGGATCTGGTCATCTTTCATGTCCTGTTGGTAGTAGAGGGAGAATAAAAATTCACTATAAAGGCAATTATTTCAAACTCCAAGTAGAGGAACTGTGCCTAAACGTGTATATTTTATGTGGTATGGTGTTAGGAACTTCTATAAATAGCTCTGTAAATTTCAGAAAAGGACAGACATTTATAAAAACCACATCTGCAGTTTTCTCAGTTTAGATGAAAATTACATGGATAATGGATGAATTTAGGGAATGAACTAATATTCCGCTGGAGAAGAAGCATTTTTCTCAAAATATGATAGAGATTTTTTCTTAGGAAATTTTAACTTTTAGGAGAGGAAGGACCCAATTGAATAAACCCATGGACTATATAATAGGAGCTTGGTTTTTCCCTCTAATCCATCTAAGGATTCACCAGGTTTAGTTATCCTGGAATGATTCTTGGTACAGCAAGAGGATAAATGATTTCAGGTATAGAATTGTCAGCATATGAGATGGTGTTTTTATTTAGTGTGTGTTTTTAAATGAATAATTTGTTCTTGTGCTTCTGTTTTGCACCCTCCTGGGATACTGAACATTTGGTGTGTGGAATGAAAACCACCAGGAGTGGTTCCTTTTGCTTTATTCTGCCTTCTTTCCAAAAGTGGGAGAGGGAACAGGAAAGCCTTTAGTCCCCATATTATTTAAAATCTCTTACAACTCAGGCCTCATCTGTTATTTTTTACTCAGAATCCCCTGACCCCTTTTAATGGTCTCCGATGATTTCTTCTGTGTGTTGAAAGTACAGTGTCAATTTGTAAAGGAATTCACTAGGCATTTTGAATACGAATGACTGAGGGATTTGGGTTTCTCCTTTGCAGTGACTTCCTCTGGGATCTTCTTGACCACATTGTTTGGGATAAAAATAACAAGAACTTTGCATTTTCTTATGAATCCAGCTATGTTTACTTTGGTTTTGTCCCCTTTTCCTATTTCAGAGTTCTAGCCACAGTTCTTTTTAATGTGGATGTGTATATGTTTTTCACACTAACAATTAGGACCAACTGTGCGGACGGGACCCTACTCTCACTGATGAGCTGCTGAATATCCTCACAGAGCTAACTCAACTTAGTAAGACCACCAATGCCAAAGTGGCACTTCGAGCACGCCAGGTAAAGACATATGTTGATGATCTTGAGAGAGAAACGGTTTTCACAGATTGGGTGGTCTTAGAAACAGTGAGCTTTTACTCAGTCGCCTGACAAAGATTGTGCAATTTTCTACGTTATGTCTTCTCTTTGCCCTCAGAACAAATGTTTTCATGTAGTATGTTTTTTAAAGAGAAAGGAAAACATTCACATTGAGTCTCTTTAAAATAGAATTCTTTTTCCCCCTTATAAAATTCTGTTACCATTTCCTACCTTTCTAGGAGCCTTGCAATAGTAAACCAGGATCACGTGGAGGAAAGGAAGCTAAGGGACGGCAATAAACTCAATATTTTTCACTTCCCAAAGGGAGCTTAGAAGCACGTGAAAACTTTTTTAAGTGTGTAGGAAAAAATCAAGTGTGGAAAGCAGAAAGATAATGCAATGAATCTGAGGTGCTAGCAATCAGAACAACCCTGGAGAACTCTGGTTAGTTTCACCCTGTAGTCTTCATTTCCATTCCAAAAGGTTTCAGCAGGGAAGCCAAGAAGTGGTGCTCCCTGTTTCAGTGCATGGGCATTGACAAGGAAGCAGCATTTGAAGCTGTTCAGTGACCTTCTGCTTTCTCCACAATTGTATCCATGTCACTGAGCTACTCAAAGTTACTGAACCTCTCAGTGACCTGCTGAGACTATTCAGGTCCCACCGTGTCCCTGTGTGTTTGTGACGCTGCTCCTCAAATGCATTGGTGTTACATCCCGACACCTTCTCCTCGATACCAAGTACCTGGGGCGGTCAGAGCAGCTTTTCCTAGTCCTTCTTTCTACTTCAGAGTTGCAAAAGCCTAGCTCTGTTGCCTCCACCTTCCCCACAGCTGCTCCCTGCCAGACCTGATTCCCAATTAACAGCTAGTCACGCAGTCCCCAGGACTAGCAGCTTTGCAATGGTAAATCATATGCACTGAGGGAACTTGATTGAAGCTGTTTTCTCTCCCTCCCCCGATCCCCCCATGGGAAATTGCCCACAATGCAAATCATGGTGAGAGTCAACCGAGATGCAGTATTTGGTGGCATTGGCTTTATGTTCCAGGACCTAGAAGTTGTTCCACTTGGTCTCTGTTTTATCTTTGATGCCTGCACTTACAGATTTATATTTATTGCTTTTGTATCAGAGCTGCCTAATAGGAGGCTAGAATAATCACTCCCTCAGGAACTTATGCCTCTTATTTTGCTCTCATTCTAGGTTCTTATTGCCTCCCATTTGCCATCATACGAGCTTCGCCATAACCAAGTAGAGTCCATCTTCCTTTCAGCAATTGACATGTACGGACATCAGTTTTGCATTGAGAACCTGCAGGTATACATGTGGTCCTTTTCTACCACTGTGGTAGAAACAGTAAAACAATAAAGTTGTCCCCTTTATTCCCAAGCATGATTTAATTAATCGGTCTATTTTGATTTTCTGTGGTAGTGAAATTTCATGCCTTGACTTTATAAAATGTTGTATACTTACGATATTTTTTTCATAAAACTGCTGTTTTGTAGTTGAACTTAAAAATCAGATAGGCCTGCCTTGTTAGACATGTTCTGTTGAAGTCTTTACCTCTTGTGTTTTTTATCCAGAAAGTATTCTGGGCTAGAATTAAGTGGTCGCACTGGTTGATGTCTGGTATTTGAGTCGGATGTGTAAATAGGTAGTTGTTAGTCTTCTAGAGACAAAACTACTTAAGTCATTTAAGTTTCATTTTATGATAATGCTTACTAGTAAGCTTTATACAGAGCCACTTTTATAGAAGAGTATTGGCTAATTTTACTACTAATTGGAAGGACCTTGACTATCACTTTTTTGACAACATCGTTTTCTCAGGAATGACATTCTATTTTTCTACCTGTAAATAAGAGTAATACTGTTCTGTCTAGCCAAGGGAGTCTTCAGGCTTTCTGTCAGATTTTCTTCTGGAGAACATAGAGAGGAGGAAAGGATGTTTTTGTTTACTTGGTTCATAGTTGAAATAGAGGGTTTCAACTGGGGTCCAAATCTGTGGTTTACTGTAGTGGAGGGTTGAGACAATATTTGAGTTGTTGACTACAGATATATGTCAGAAAGGATATTAATATGGTCATTAATAATGTGTTGTTAGTGTATTACTTTTAAGAATTTTACATATATTAATTCTGATGCTCACAACAGACCCATGAGGATAGGTATCATTATTTTCCCCATTTTGTAGCTAAGGAAGCTGGGGCACAAAGAAGGTAAGTTCATACATGACATCTGTAGACAGAATTCTTGGGTTACTGAGTGCTTCAGAATGCTAAATATTGTGCACTGAAATCGGTCTCTTTTGGATGTAGTGGTTCAAGCTTGTCTCTGTGCCTTCCAGAAACTCATCTTGTCTGAAACATCTATTTTTGACGTCCTCCCAAACTTCTTCTATCACAGCAACCAGGTAGTGAGGATGGCAGCTCTGGAGGTGAGCTTTCATAGCAACACGATGTGACCTTTTTCTTGGTTTCTAGCTGATTTCTTCTGTCCACTTGGCTACTGTATCAGTCCTTTTTATTTGGCCTTAAGGTTGGTGCTTTACAGTCTTCTTTTCCCCTGAAACAAAGACTTGCTTTACTCAAGTGTTTCAGCTGAACTAATCACCACTTCTGGGCTCCAATCACGGGAAAATAGCTGCCAGCGTTTTTCAATAGTCTCTACTTTCCAGATATTTGAATTCTCTCATTTCATAATAAATCAGAATTCCCTATAAAACAATAAGTAAAAAAACATGGCTGACCAGAACATGTACCATTTTGTGATTTGGGCCAAATAAAATGGATTTTAGTTATCTTCTGAATTTTCAGGCAGCACCTTGTGCTGTGCACCTTGTGCACTTTATTTAACACAGCATCACTACAATCTGTTGCAGGCTCCTTTGGGTTACTTTTTATTTGTATTCTGTGGGTAGAATATAATGTATCGTACTCAGTAAATACCAAATTTTAAAAATATCTAAGTATCTCAGAGTGCTTTCATGTCATTTAATGAGAAATCTTATATACCTCACATGATGATAGAATCCCACGTAGCATTTTCTGTGCGTGGCAAATTGGCTGCGAAGTGCACAAGGTCAGACTGATGGTTTTTGCTGAGATGGAGCCTGTTGCTGTTTCTTTTAACTCTTGAGTCAAGTTAGTACGTGTGAGATACTATGTCACATTATGTCTTACTGCTCTTGCCTACGGTTTGGGGGATATGAGTAATCTAAAATAATTCGGGGCAGTGGGAAAACAAAGATAAAGGATAGTGAAAGAGTTGAAGTGTCTCTGTCTTCTGCCTTCATTCCGCAGGTGGCTCAGAACCAGTACCTCTCATTTTTCTCGCTGCTTGCTTATATCTTCTGTTGGGATGATTGTGCGCAATGAGTTAGTAGTTGTGATTCTATATGCTCGCTTTTACTAATGATCAAACCTTCTCCTGAGTTTGGGTTAGTGTGAAAGGTTTATGGCCCAGCCAGAGGTATCCAGCAGAGGCAGGGCAGTTTTATTTCCATTTATAGTCACGGGTATAGTTTTAAGACTTTAGCTTTATTAATTGAAGCAAGTTATTTATGTTCAGAGCCTTCTTCTACATTGCATACCTCTTCTCAGGAGTATCCTTTTCCTGGACTAAGCATTTCTTAGTTTTTGTTTTCGAAGTGTATTTACTGAGGATTACTTTTTGACCAGGTTTATGTTCGAAGGGCTTATATTGCCTATGAACTTAACAGTGTACAACATCGCCAGCTTAAGGACAACACCTGTGTGGTGGAATTCCAGTTCATGCTGCCCACATCTCATCCAAACAGGTGAGTTTGAACTGGGACGTGCTTCTGAGCCAGCCAGAGATGTATCAGGAGAGTTAAGAGGAGTAATATATGTGACAATTCCATGCATTTTTGGTTTTGGCTAGAAACATAGAGCAGAAAATGAACACATTTAAATCATGAGAGAAGAGCCTCTTGGTACCTACTTTTTTTTTTTAATCTTTGAGTCTACTTAAGATAAAAATTTGAGGGTTGCCTGGGTGGCTCAGTTGGTTGAGCAGCTGCCTTTGGCTCAGGTCATGACCTCAGGGTCCTGGGATCGAGCCCCACCTTAGGCTCCCTGCTCAGCAGGGAGTCTGCTTCTCCCTCTGCCCCTCCCCACCACTTGTGCTCATGCATTGTGTGCTCTATGTCCCTCTCAAATAAATAAAATCTTAAAAAAAATAAAAAATAAAAATTTGAGGATTACTCCATCATTCATGTTTCCTTGTATTATGTCATTGAGGAAAACATAGTTCTTTTCTTTTTTCAGGTCAGAATTTACTGGCATTTTATTTGCTGGAACTTTGCTAGAAAAATCACTTTTTTTAGCAGTTTAAGTCAAACAGTTGGAACATGAAAATATCTTGGGTGGGGGTGCCTAGGTGGCTTGGTTAGTTAAGCATCTGACTCTTTTTTTTTTTTTTTAAGATTTTATTTATTTATTTGACAGAGGGAGACATCGAGAGAGGGAACATAAGCAGGGGGCGTGGGAGAGGGAGAAGCGGGCTTTCTGCTGAGCAGGGAGCCTGATGCGGGGCTCGATCCTGGGACCCTGGGATCATGACCTGAGCCGAAGGCAGACGCTTAACGACTGAGCCACCCAGGCGCCTCTAAGCATCTGACTCGATCTCAGTTCAGGTCTTGATCTCAAGGTCATGAATTCAAGCCCTGAGCTGGAGCCTACCTAAAAAAAAGAAAAGAAAAGAAGTTGGCTGGAATGCTTTTCTTTTCTATATATTTGTTATAGGTTAATTGAAACTTAAATCAGGTTTTAAAAATCACAGTTCAGAAGCAAACTGAAATTCAACTAAACTATATAATTAAGCCATGCTAATTCCATTATTTTTCCTTTCCTAAGCCGTTTAAGAAGTAAAATGTACATACAGAAATTTATTTTAGTATTGCTTTGGTTTTAAGATGAAACTACTTTATCTTGTACACTGATTTATTTTTAAAGTATTCTGAGGCAGTGAAAACTGAGGAATCCCACCCACACATATGTTCATCCCCTCCTGTATTTTCATTCTTTTTAGTAATACCATAGGAAATATAAATACCACAGCCAATCATAAGCTGCCCCCCTCCATTTCTTCTTTATGGGCTTTGGTTCTTCACTTCGTATTACAAAGTACTGTGTCTTCGGGGATCCTTAGTTATAGACAACAGAAATGGTTTTGTTCTGAATTGCTACTTCACCCAAAGCAATAGAAACCATTCCTAGAGACAAAGAAGTCTGTGTTGAGACTTTTGGCCACTGGATGCCACTGTTGATCCAGCAGAGGCCAGCAGATGAGCAGAGGCATCTTCAGAAAAAGTACTTCTCTTCTTTGTCTCAGAAGATCCTTTCACATCTCTACCTCAAAAATACCTTATGGCTGGCAGAGAAAAGCATATATCCTTGATTTAGCAAGCATCTCTTGGTACATTTTTGCCTCCATGGATTTCAGAATCTCATTTTCTAGAAACGAATGGTTGTCCTTCAGCGAGCGGCAGAGTACTCACGGCACACATGGGCTCAGCACTCCGTCGTCTTTCTTCTCCTGCATTCCTTGAATAATTGTAGAGAACTACATGCTATACTTAATGCTCTTTGTAATTCTCAGGACATTCTCCTTTTCTTCCTGCTTTCTACTACCTCTTCCCTGTGGGCAGTGATTTGTAGTCATGCTGCAGAGCTGCTTCTGATTTCCTTCCCTCCTCATTGCTCCCCTTGTCTTTCTGAATTGCTCTCCCTGTCCTACTTTTTATTTGAGGCTACGTGTCCAGTTTGGTGAAGGAAAGTCGACTGGAAAATGAGAGAAATTCTTCTTAACTGTTTGTTAAGAAATCTTATTCACCTTTCCATCTCAAGGATATGAATCTTGGTTATTCCTGGTATGGCTTCAAAACTTGGATGCTTGTCCCTCCGAGCATCTGAGGTATACACATCCCTATGGATAAAGACCAGACTTGAATAGAACTGTGATCCTGTTTTCTCTCTCCAGTCTTCCGTGGTTGTATGTATATGAAATTGTAAACTGCTAGATTATTGTTAGTAGTATTAACAGTAGTACTAGTACTATAGATATAAAGGTGAAGATGAGGACAAGTAAAGGAGGATAGGTAAAATAATCCTTGTGAAAACCAGAAAAATGTTAAAATTGCTTTAATGCTTTTTTAGATCTAAAGTCCTTTTGTTAGCTTAGGAATGTAAGATGCTATCAGATTTAATCACCGAATGATATATCCAATTATAGAGTATGGCTTTTTCACTGAATTATAGATTTGCTACTTGAATTTAGTTTTTTTAAGATTTTATATTTTCTTACAAATGTTTTTGTTACAATTTGAAGTTATGACTTCATTCTGACACCAACTGGTGTGCTGCCAATTCAATTCTGATGCTAACCACCTGAGTTAGATCAGATAACACAAGTTAAGGGCTCAATCCTTCACAAAACTGTCCCTACTTCAGATCGGGCCACAAGTGGGGTTCCCAAGCCACCTATGCTCCTGACCAACTGGCTACAAATTTGGGGTTTCCCATGACCCCATCCAGTTTAATAATCCACTAGAACAACTTACAGAAATCAGAAAGCACTATACTTATGAACACAGTTTTATCATAAAGGACACAGATCAGAACCAGCCAAACGAAGAGACCCTTGGAGTAAAGTCTGGGTGGGTGCTTTCCTGTTCTTTCCCTTTGGAATCAGGTACTCATCCTCATAGCATATCAGTATGTTCACCAACCACAAAATTCTATTAAAGTTCAGTGTCCAGAGTTTTTATCAGGCTTTCATTACAGTGGCATGATTGATCGAATCACAGATCACATTAAACTCAATCTCTAATCCCTCTCCCTTCCCCAGAGGTCTAGCTGGCTCAAAGCCCCCTACCCTCTAATCACATGGATGGTTTTTCTAGTGGGAAACCCTGAGCTGAGTTATCTCATCTCTTAGCATAAACTGAGGTGTAATCCAAGAGGCATGTGAATAATGAAGATACTTCTGTTTCTTTTGAGAAATTACAGGAATTTAGAATCTCTCTCCCAGGAAGCAGGGACAAAGGCCTGTCAAATTCTTTATAATAGGCCAACTCATCTTATAAAAGAATTCTAGGGTCTCTTAATTTTAAAGATTTTATTTATTTTTATTTTAGAGTGCCCACAAGCTGGGGGAGGGGCAGAAGGAGAGAGGATCTCAAGCAGACTCTGTGCTTAGCACAGAGCCTGACGTGGGGCTTGATCCCACAATCCTGAGATCATGACCCCAGCCGAAACCAAATGTAGGACACTCAACCAACTGAGCCACACAGGTGCCCAAGGGTCTCTTAATTTTAACTAGTTTTGAGGCAAGTTCCAACTTTTTTCCCCACCTCTGGTACTATTGTTCTTTCCTATTATTGTTTTGAACAAGCAGGCAATGCGCATACTGGTTTTTATTCTACAGAAGTAAGTTACAGGAGATGATCTATCAGTGTCTATTCCACTCCCAATCTCCTAAGGCTCAAGGACACAATTATGTCCACTAACCTCTAGACTAATGATTCTCAGAATTATTTTGGAAATATTTTTAAAATACTGACTACCAAGATTCTAATTTTTTTTTTTTTTAAGATTTTATTTATTTATTTGAGAGAGAGAATGAGATAGAGAGAGCGTGAGAAGAGGGAGGGTCAGAGGGAGAAGCAGACTCCCTGCCGAGCAGGGAGCCCGATGCGGGACTCGATCCCGGGACTTCAGGATCATGACCTGAGCCGAAGGCAGTCGCCCAACCAACTGAGCCACCCAGGTGCCCCAAGATTCTAATTTATTTTAAACCAAACTCCAGGGGACCACTCTTTGAAAATTGTGATGAGCACCTGCAGTTAAGGATCATTGCTACTAGATCAGCAGTGTCCAATAGAAATACAATGCAAAGCCATGGATGTTAAATTCTGTTTTTTGTTGGCCCCATTTAAAAGGGAAGAAGAAATGGATAAGGGGTGCCTGGGTCAGTCAGTTAAGTGTCTGCCTTCAGCTCAGGTCGTGATCTCAGCATCCAGGGATCGAGTCCCGGGTCGGGCTCCTTGCTCAGCGGGAAGCCTGCTTCTCCCTCTCCCCGCCCCCCGCTGTCTTTCCTCTCTCTCTCTCTCTCTCTCTCTCTCTCTATCAAATAGACAAATTTAAAAAATCTTTAAAAAAAGAAACATAAAATTACCTTTAACAACATTTTCTTTAACCCATCATATCCAAAATACCATTTAAATATGTAGTAAAAAATTGAGATACTTTATTCTTCATACTCAGTCTTTGAAATTTAGTGTATTTTATACATATAACATTTCTCTATACAGATTAGCCATATTTCAAGCACTTCATAGCCACATAGACAGCTCAACTCTAGACCAAAAATTAATTAGGACAATCACACTGAGCCCTCTTTTTATTTTATGTTAATGGTAGTGCCCCTGGGATGGATTTAAAAAAAGAAAACAAAACAAAAACCTCTTATGTTTCTTGTTCTTAATAGCTACAGGAATTATCCATACCTGATACTATAGGTATTCTACTACAATATTTTATGCATGTTTTAAAAATTACTCAGTGAGAACAGAGAGCAAGCATATGAATATACATATTTTACTTATCAATGCAAAACAGAATTTTACAATATTTTTCCCAGTTGGGGTTAACAAACCAAAAATTCTTGGGGGAGAAAACAGATACATTCTTTTTTTTTTTTTAAGATTTTATTTATTTATTTGAGAGAGAGAATGAGAGAGAGCACATGAGAGGGGTTAGGGTCAGAGAAAGAAGC